CTATAAAAAAAAAATATTGATGTGTTTCGTTATATTTTTTTTGTGTTTACTTACAATAATATATAAAAAAAATTATTTTATAAAAAAAAAAAAAAAAAAAAAAAAAAAAAAAAAAAAGATGTATATATATATATATATATATATATATATATATATATAAACTTTGGAAAAAAAATATATTTTTTATCTACTAATATATGTAAATATATATCATTTTTTTTTTTTTTTTTTATTTATTAAATAGGTGTGTAAAAGTACATACAAATTATCAAAATCATTGTTGCCAAAATATTATGAACATATCAGAAAAAATCCAGATTCTCTTTTAACTCGTTTATATGGAATACATTCAATTAAATATGAAAATAATTCTAAAAGTATAACCAAAATTCTTGTACATATATACATATATATATAAATACATACGCATAAATTTATGTACATTTATTTTCCTTTTTTAGATAGCAAAAAGAAAATATATTTTATTGTCATGAATAATTTCTTCTCATCAGTTGTTGAGATACACAGAAGATATGATATTAAAGGAAGCTTAATAGGTAGAACAGTACCATTATCAAAAAGAGAAGATCACACAATTGCATTAAAAGACGTAGATATTGACGAGTTAGGAGATAAAATAAATATTGGTTCAAAAAATAAAGAAAGATTACAAAATGTATTAAAATCAGATACAAATTTTTTAAAAGAAAATTTCATATTAGATTATTCTCTACTTTTTGGTATACATTATAAAGAGTTATCAAAAGATTTGGTTAATTGGGATAAAAGTAAAACAAATGAAGTTCATCATATTTATGATGAAAAAGGAAACTGTATAGCATCGAAACCTTTTCATCAAGTATATGGATATTATTTTTTTTCATATATATATTTTTAATAAATCAATGTGTATAACAGTATATTTTTTTTATGTATAAATTATTAACAATGAATTTTTTTATTATTATTTTTTTTTTTTAGTGTGACCATGGTGGTATTATTAATGTAGACAAAAACAGAATTTTCTTTTTTGGTATTATAGATATTTTTACTAGATGGAGGTAAAAAAAAAAAAAAAAAAAACAGAGTAATTTTATGAATATATTATTTATTTTTATGATAGTATTTTTATATAAAAAATATGTAATAGTTTATAATTTAAAAAATTATTATACATTTTTTTTTTTTTTTATTTTAGCCTAAAAAAAAAATTCGAGCATACATTTAGAACTTTGCAGTAAGAAATAACGTAAAAAATTAGAAAAAAAATAAAATACATTAAATAAAACAAAGTTTTAACTTTTTTTTTTTTTTTAGGAAATTAGATGGTAAAAATATTTCCTGTATCCATCCTAATGCTTATGCAAGTAATCCAATAAATTAGAAAACAATTTTATAAAAAATAACTTTTTTAAACAATTTATCTATATTATATTAATATTAATAAATCATTTATATATATCTATTTATATTTATTTTTTTTTTTTATTATTCAGAAAGGTTTGTCACATTTATTGAAAATCATATGGAATAATTTTATTTTTTTCATTATATTGACGAATTAAAATAAATTAGAATTTTTAAAATTACTTTTTAACATTTCTTCAAAAAATTTTTTTTTTTTTAAAGTGCTAAGTTATCTTTTTTTTTATCATTGTGTGATGTTTTAAAAATTACAAAAATACATGAATAATATATGTATATAGTTGACTTCATATACTAGTTTATTTATTATCAATGTTTTAAAAAGTTACTTATATTCATCTTTTTAATCTAAATACACATTCCTGTGTAAAAGATAATTTTGTAGTATTTTTTTTTTTTTGTTAACGTTTCATTTTCATAAAAACCTTTTTTTTATGTATTTTTCTTCTATTTTGTTTTAAAATCTTTTAAAAAATAAAAAAAGAAAAAAATTAAATTAAGATTAGTAAATAATTGATTATATGCCTATTATTTTAATAGTTTATAAACTTAATTATTTAATTTAACCCATCACTGCTTTATGCATCAATATATTATTTCATTTGTTCACTTATAATAGTTCTTAGTTATATTTGTTTTAATTAGAATAAAATGAAATAAAATAAATGGAAAATAATTAAATATTTGACAAACAAGTAAAAAAATAAATACTTAAATCCATATGTATAAAATGTGTAAGATAATAAAATAAAAATATTTTTTTTTTTTCTTTATTATTTAATAGAGTGAAATCATAAAAATATAATAGAAAAAAAAATTAAATTAAATACTTTTTTTTTAGTTTTTTTTTTTTTTTTTTCTTAAGTTATTATTTTATTAATATATTATTAGTAGTAAGACAAATTATAAGCTTCAATTTAAATAAAAAATACTATTAAAATATAAATATAATTATATATATTTATACTTGAAAAGTGTGCACAAATTTTTTTTATATATACTAAAATGAACTTATGTGCTTAAATATGTTTATATGCTCATATGAAACCATATATATTAATATGTTCATATGAATTAATAAATTTGTTCATGTAAATTTATGTATATGTTCATATATTTATATTAACTGGAAAAAATATTCAGGTAAATTTATGACATCCGTATTTATTCTACATCTGTATCGGTAGTTGGAACAGTATTTGTTTCATCAAGTAATTCCATTTTTAATTGCCAAAATTGAAGAGTATTATCTTCGCTAGTAGACCCTATAAACATCTTTAGTTTTTTGTGATGATTCCAATTAAAGTCTGTAATTGATTGTGTGTGTCCACCATGCGAAAAAATCAATTCAGATGGTCCGTCTGATAAATCAATAGCATCAAGTTCTTCACCTATTTTATTTAAATCATAAACATTAATAAATCTGTTATTGCTTGCTGAAGCAAGTAAAGAAGAATCATTTGGAGAGAAGTTTAATCTGATAATTGCTTCTTGATGTGCATTAATTATATGTTGAGGTTCATTAAATTTTTTAATATCCCATATTTTGATTTTTCCATTATCACTTCCTGACGCAAAATAACCTGTAAATTTATTTAAAGAAACAGAATTAACAGGAACTTGCTGACCTAAAACTTGTTGCGCTGGTTCGCTTGTCTTTATTCTCAAGTCATATAGTAAAATATATCCATTATCTGCACAAGCTAATATTAAATTAGGATCATTGGTGGGAGATATATCATTTATTGGTGATTTATATTGAACCTTATAAAATGGATTTACTATATTTGAGCTTAAATCATTGTAATCATAAACATTTATTAATCCATCATTGCCACATGTTAATATATTTTTTTTATGCGTATTAAAATCTAAACCAAATCCATCTGATTGATTACCAATAAAAGAAACTTCTGGACTCATTTTATCGTCATTTGTTTCAATTTTATGTTTATTTATATCAAACAAATGAAGATTTCCATCTACTGCCTTTGTTACTACAAAATTTTTTTTTTCCATAGGTAAAAATTTTATTCTATTCACTTCACCTGTATGTGCAATTTTTGATTTTATAGTAAATTTTTTTTTTTCAGTGCAAAATTCGAAACCTTCATAATTTTCATTTTCCTTATATACACATTTTTCTTGTGGTACTTTTTCTAATGGAAATAATACATCACATACATATAAAAAATTTGGTTCTTTATTTGATGTGTGAGTTCCTACACAAACTATTTGATTTAATACGTTATTTTCTATATTTTCATCATGAAAATCACCAAAATCAATTGATAATGAAGGCCATTCTAATTCCTTTCTGCATACAAAATCATATAACAAACCACTGTTTGTCTTCCAATTATTAAATTGAACTTCAATATCTTCTTCTTCACTTTCTTCTTTTTCTTTAGTTACTTCTTCATTTTCTACTTCTTCACTTAGTTCAATACAAGCTTCATCAAGAGTATTAGATTTTCTTTTTTTATTATCTTTGGGACTACTCATTTTTTATATATATATATATATATATATATATATTTTTTTTTTATATATATTTATACTTATATTTTTTTATATAAAAAATTATATTATTATTCTAAATATAAAAATACTACTATATATATATATATATATATAATAACTATTTATTATTTAGTACACGTATATACAAAGCTTAACTACATCATTTATTAAAAATATGTCAATTATATATTAAATAGAAAAATATCTTCAATTAAATGATTAAAATATTTATATATTTATTATGAATTAATCATAAATATACTAATAAAAAAAAAAAATTAAATATATAAAAAAAAATATATACTTAAAAAAAAAAAAAATTATTGTTTTCCCTTATTCTTTTATAGAACAAGTATATATATTTTTAAATTATATCTCATTACTAGTTACAAGGAAAATAAAAACAAGATATATATGGGGTAAAAAAAAAAAAAAAAATACAAGGAAAAAATATTAAAATTTTTTTTTCTATTGTTATAATTTTTTAATTATTAAATTGGTTCATAACTTTTATTTTTGTAAAACTATAAAATGATTACTTAAAGGAGTTGTTAATTATATAATAGCATAGATAAAAATTTTATTTTTTGTTTTTTAAATATAAATATTAATTTTAAATTAAAATATAGATATAAATAAAATTTTAAAATATATATTTATATATATATATATATAAGAAAAAAAGAAGAAAAAAGGTTATTAAAATTTTATTAACTATTCTTATTTTAAATATTTTAAAATAACTTTTCTGATACTTATAAAATTTATTAGAATAAGAAAATAAAATAAAATATAATAGAAATATTATATGAAATAAATATTGTCAATATTATAAACTTTCTTTTTTATTATTTTAATTATTTTCTTTTGTTTGTGTATATTTTATATGTTTATAAACATAATTATTTTTTCTTTTCATATTACACTGCTTTATTTTCTTTTTTCTTTTTCTTTAAAATATTTTTTTTCCTTTTTTTATAAGACAAAAAAATGATATATAAAATAAATTTTTAAGTTTTTTTTTATTTTTTTAAAGCTATTACCTATAATATTTTAATAAATAGAAGAAATAACTCCATAAAATTATAATAATAATATATTATATAAATTTAATTATGTATGTTTATTTTCTAAAATAAGATAAAGTATTTTAAATATGATTTGTTTTTCCTTTTATATATGTGTATTTTTATATATACTTGTAATTCTTACTAAATTTTTTTTTGATTTTGCAATGATTGTAATTTAAGACATTTTTTCATGTTACTTTTTTTAAGATATGAAAAAAAAAATAAAAATAAAAAATAATATACGTATAATTTTAATCATATAAAAAATCGTTTTAAATAAAAAATGTATCTTATTTCCACATAAGACACTCTTTTATAGACGATAAATAAGTAGTTTTTTATACTTAATATATATTACTGTATTTTTTATTTTTTTTTTTTTAATAAAATATTCTATGAAATTTTAAGTAGGATTTATTTCATTAATACTTAAAGTTTCTTTTTTTTTTTTTTTTTAAATAGTAAAACTATAAATTATTCAATATATATATATACACATATATTGAATTTGCTTTTTTAAATTAAAAATGGATAGTAAAATTAAATAATAATAATAATATACTTTTTACTAAAGAATATTTCATATTAATAAAATACATTATTTTATTTAGTTTTTTTTTTTTTTTTTTTATGTATGTATTATAAAAGTATATATAATACTTCTTTTATTAAATTATAAAAAAATATATATCTCTTTTTTTTTTTTTTTTTTTTAACACCATTTTTTTTGCTAATTGTAATTTCATTGATTATATTTTTCCATATTTATTATAATTATACTTAACATTAAAAGAACACTTTTTTTTATAACCTCATAACATTTAATTTTTTAAATAATTAAAAAGAAAAAAAAGGACATTTATGCTGAATTATATACTCATTTTATTTTTATGTATTAAGATATTTTTAAAAAAAAAAGAAGATAATCTAAAAGTGTCTTAACATTTTTTGTAGTTAACTACGATTCTTAACATTCAATTTCTCACTTTTATTCAATTTCTATATGCTTTTATTTAGAAAACTTCTTTTTTTTTTTTTTTTCTTCATATTAAAAACATATAAACGTAATCTAAAAGAATATAATTAAAAAATAGTTTATTTAATTTTTCTACTTAAAATGTCTAAAAATTTGAAGTGAAAAAATTTAACTCATTTGTTATAATAAATATATGTAAAAAAAAAATAATGATAAATATATTAATACATATAAAATATATATCAATATGAAAAAATGTCCATAGATTCTTAACAAAATAATTTTAATAAGAATTTTATATTCAAAATTTTCTTTAAAAAATCATAATGCTATTATATTTTATTACTTTCAAAATGCTTCAAGAGGTGCATATGTACGTGTTTTTTATACATTATAAAAAAAAAATTACAAAACTGTAAATATTTGAAATAACAAATAAATTTCTGTTAGTAATTATGTTTTTTTTTTTTTATAATAAAGAATAGTTTAAAAATTATTTAAACTGTTAAACTAACAAAATTATCGAAATTTTTAAATTTACATAAATGACCTATTTAAAACTATATTTTTTTTTTTACGCTTACTCCATTTAAAAATAAAAAAAATTGTAAACAAAAAAATATTCATTAAAGCATGTTTTAAAAAGTAAAATTAACTTTTGCCATGTTTTTTTCGAAGAATATATTTGAAAAAATATATATAAAATTAAAAAAAAAAAAAGTTTTTTTTTTAAATTTTATCTATTTTTATATTTTTATATGTAAAAATTGTTCATAATGCATTTTTTTTTTCTTTCTTTTTAATTATAATATTTAAAAAATATGTAAATATCTATTTTTATATAAAAGGAAGCCATTAATCTCTATTATTATATGAAAGAATATATTTTTTTTTTATAAAAAAGAACTTAATTATATATTACAATAAAATTTGAAAATCATTTTTTTTTTTTAATATAAATATAGAAACTTAAAAACTCTAATAAAAAAGCTGATAAATATTAAAAACATTGATATTATCATTTAATTAATAAAAAAAAAAAAAAGATTCTAAGAAAAAAATACGAAAATAGAAAATAAAAATTTCATTACACACAAAAAGAAAGTTGTATTAATTTAATATTTATGTATTAAAGTTAATCCATATATGCACCAATAATATAAAAAAAATTACTAAAAAAAATATAATATATAAGAATAAAAAAAAAAAAAAAAAAAAAAATGATAAATAGAGATGTCATCAACTTATAATAAAAAATTGGCTTTAAATTCCGTAAATGATAAGCCTGTTCCTTTAAATATAAGTAATTCTAGACTAATTTAAAATTTTTTTTTTTTTTGTTAAGAAAAAATTATATATAGATATAAAGAATTATTATAATTCTTGTATCAATGTGTTTATATTTTTTGCAAATATAGTAAAGTCGTTTGTATAATAGAAATAAGTTCATATGAATTAGTAAAATTATATATATATGCTTTTTTTTTTTTTTTTTTTTTTTTTTTTTTTTCTATTCCTTTTAATAGATACAAATAATGAAAACAATAATATAAAAAGAAAAATATATAGATCGTTTAGAAACACAAGAAATGCATTTTGTCCAGATTGCAAAGAGAAAGGAATAATTATATGTGATAATAGTGAAGGAACACAGATATGTAATGGATGTGGATTAGTAGTTGAAAGTAATATACTTTCAGATGAACAGGAGTGGAGAAATTTCAATAATGATGGTCATTCAAAAGGTAATGATAGAAATAGAGTTGGAGAAGTTAGTGATATATGGTTAGAAAATAATTTAACTAGTACTACTTTTATTAAATCTAGCAAAAAGCTGCAACACTTAAATATGATGACACAGATAAATAAAAATGATCAAACATTAATTGCTGCTTTTAATATTTTGAAATTAATTTGTGAAACTTTTTTTCTCCGAAGTAATGTAATTGAACGTGCTAAGGAGATAACTAAAGAATTACAAGTATAAAAAAATATATAATAAATATATATATATATAAATAAATATATAAGTGTAATATTTTAAATAAAAAAAAAAAAAAATAATTAATTATTACACATAATTATATATATATATATATATATATTTCCTAATTTTATATATATATATATAGGATTTAGAACAATTAAAAAATAGAATTAATAATTTGAATATGTTAGCTGTTGTATATTTAGCTTGTCGAGAAGCAGGGCATATAAAAAGTATAAAAGAATTAATAACATTTGATAGATCTTATAAAGAAAAAGATTTAGGAAAAACTATTAATAAATTAAAAAAAGTATTACCTACAAGAGCTTTTGTTTATAATGAAAACATTTCTCATTTAATATATACATTATCAAATAGATTACAATTATCAACCGATTTAATTGAAGCAATTGAATATGTTGTAAAAAAGGCTACTACTTTAATTACAACTTCCCACAGATTAAATTCACTGTGTGGAGGATCAATTCATTTAATAGTTGAATTAAATACAAATGAAGAAAAAAATATAAAACTACCGAATTTATCTCAAATTGCTTCAGTATGTGGAGTTACAACCAATACATTAAAAACTACATTTAAAGAATTGTTAAATGCATCCGAATATATTTTACCAAAATATTATTTGACCGAAAATAACCAGAAACTATCATTACTAAAGCAGAAATATATAAGTGAAGAAAAAAAAAAAAAAATAAAATAAAATAAAAAGATGTAAAAATATATATATATATATATATATATATTTGATTTATATATAATTCTTTTATTCGTATGTATTTATGTAAATATTTATTTTTTTTTTTTTTTTTTTTTTTTTTTTTTTTTTTTTAAAAA